GAATAATGTTTCGTAATATATCCAGCTCGTATAATATACGATGATGGTGTCTTCATTCGAAGTACAGTACTGTACATCACTTTACTCACGTGATACTGTATTTTGATTTACAGACAGCATGTACAGCATATAGATGATGCAAATACTAGCTATAAATCATATAAGTGTGCAGTGATCCACCTTCGCAAACGAAGAACGACTGGGATCTTGAACATCACATAGCCGCGTTATAAATGACGCGAATTTTGGACTGCAATATGATTGATATCTGCTGCGTGTTATGAACGCAGATAGCTCAATAACTTAAGCACTGCACAGCACCGATCAAATAGAAAGTTGTAAAACATGTACGTTATTTATGCGGGGAATCCGTAGCGAAGTTTAAGCGATTCCGGTTCAGGAACAATAAGACGACCTGCAAGACCGATCGTAAAATGCCGGAAATTTGGGCGCGGAGCGAGTCTACACTCCACATAACCCGGCAGAAGCGCTGCTGACCTCCAATCGCGCGCGCGCGCAATTCCTCCTGAACCGAATTCGCGGAATGCGGGATACTTTATATATGTACTGTTCTGTACTACGAATGATGAATTATACTTCTTGCATGAAATTCTGATCAAGATTACTGTTGGAAGATGTCAGGTTCTGACACCTTGATCGCACTTACCATGCGTGGATGATACTGTGTTTCAATCACCGATTATGATTCAGTCTGTACGAATAAGATGCACTCCGTATGAGAACACTACGGGCCGTGAACTACTTACAGAGCGACATCTATTCAAACTTTGACGGCTGTGGATCGAGTTTGTTGAACTTCTTTGCAGGAGTCGCTTCTGTCACAGATCTGTTGAAGAACCTTGACAATTAACCTTAACCGCCGACGTAACTTCGATGAATCAGTACAAAATCCTTTCAAATTTAAGGGTAAATTTTTCAAAGAATTAATGCAGCAGGATAATTCTAAAAATTTGTGTTGGATTATAAGCATTCCTTTCGGTAATATTAAAGCATCAGTTTCTTTGTATTCCTCTGACAAATTTAGCCTCTACATCAGCCCTTTTTTTTTGGACACCATTACATGAGTGCTATACCATTCCCAAAGGTTTCTTCCAGTTTTCCTGTCTAAATTTTTTTTCTTTTTCCTGAGATCACAAATACAGTACCTTTACACCGCTGTTTCAATCAGAATGACAATCTTCAATGAAAAAGATTATTCATGTTGCAGAAAAAACCTAATGTAGTGCTACCAAGTTTTTTTCTTCATTTGCATTTCTAGATATTGACAAAAACTTCTTGAAAATTGGAAGTTGCTAGAAAAGGTAGTTTTAGAAGATTGTTGCTACGTGAACCTTCATAACCCTGGATATTAAAAAAACGTTTTTTTAATTTTATTACAACCCTGATTTATAACTCGTCACTCTTTTTCCCCCGAAGAACTTTCGTTATATACAATACAACAATGCTTGTTGGAACAAGGTTCTCCTGTTTGAAGCTTTTGCCATTGTTTAGACATTTTGTGATTGACTTGCAAAACTTCTGAAGAAATGTATACAGTACAATTGAATCTCAAAAACTCAAACCTCCCAAGTCAATACTTTATAGTACGTCAAATATTTTTGGAGTCCCTGCCTGAATTCCTTTTTGAACACTGTATTAAAAACCCCTCCAACTCAAAGGCTNTAATACAATACAACAATGCTTGTTGGAACAAGGTTCTCCTGTTTGAAGCTTTTGCCATTGTTTAGACATTTTGTGATTGACTTGCAAAACTTCTGAAGAAATGTATACAGTACAATTGAATCTCAAAAACTCAAACCTCCCAAGTCAATACTTTATAGTACGTCAAATATTTTTGGAGTCCCTGCCTGAATTCCTTTTTGAACACTGTATTAAAAACCCCTCCAACTCAAAGGCTATTTCCTCCTCAAACATCTATCATAAGTTCATAACTCAATTTTTCTGGAGGCATTTTTGCTATACAGTAATTTTTTTTCGCACTGGAAAAGCAAGAAAAAATGTAATAATGCTATAAGGAATGAATGACTAATTGAGCAAATAAATTTCCATATTTGGCGTCCTGGAAGCTCATTTAAGAAGCAATTTCAGACCCAGAATATCAAAAATTTCTTGTAATTTCTCTTTCTTTCTTTAAACAAAAATGCATGTTACCCTCATTCAAACCCTTGCCCAAGTCAAATTTTTTTTGCTGGTCCTTTCAAGTTTGACTTATAAGAGATTCAGCAGCATTTTAACAATAGGTTGAATGGTCAGAAAATTGGAGAACACACATCTGCAAACATAAAGAAAGAAACACACAAACTTGCGTTCCAATCCCGTTTTATTTCTTTTCAATACCTCATCTCAAACGAAACCGGCTCAAGTTTTAGGAGCCATATTTTCATATGTGGGTTTGAACGTTCCTGACAACAGGAGAAAAAAGAGTTGATCGACACACTCCAATAAAAATTGCGAATGCAAATGAATTTTGACTTCGATAAAGCGCCCGAACAAGGGGAGAAAATAACCTGATACCATTTCAGAAAAAAACTTAACAATCACCGAAAAAATGCGTCTTGGAAGAAAATCTCAATCCAAACACTGTCCATTCCAATAGTAATGCATCTTGCTCCACAGTACATCGGAAGAAAAAAGGGGCTCTCCGAAAGATTAACCGATCAGCTCCTTCCGTGCTACTTTGCTTCTCATCTTCGTGGTCCATGAACTTTCTCAACAACGCGAAAAAGACTGAGATAACAAACACCCGAATGTTCGGAAAGCCCCGATTTTTCCAGTTTCATTAAAGAAGAAAAAATTCGTGTTTTCTTTTCCTAATGGAAGTCAAAAAATGACACCAATCAACTCAGACCCTCGAACAATTTTTCTTTTTTCCCGCGGACAAAATAAGCAATCTTCTTCCAGAAAAATAAGCTAATCACAACCAACACAATCTTCAGGAAACCACACCGCAAAAAATCCAAACGCCGTCGTGCCAAAAACCCAACGTCTAAAACTGATGCTGCGATGCGAACAATCACAAGACAATTGAAGGGATGTTCCAACACAAAAATCAGGAGGTCTTTTTTTAAATTGAAACGTATCGTAAAAAAAATGTTTCTTCGATTCCTCATGGCTACGGAATGCGAGTTTCGAAGTTCTATAAGCTATTAAATCAACAAGGTTCACAACACAGGAATACAACTTTCCGATTGCGATATTCTGAACCAAAAAGTAGGAATTTGAAGATAAAATTAGCCCATGTGCAAGGGTTGGTTCAAAATATTTGCAATAATCCAAAATCCTGCATGAACTTTAACAAGTCTCCGTTTCAATCTTGCGGGAATACGAGAATAAATGCCTGAAAATGATCAAGACTTCGCGGTTTATCTATCTTCAATCTTGGAAATATTCCAATGACAATTAATGCATAAGAATGGCGAATATGTTGAACCAACCCATGTACGTGTACTGTACTCCGATTGAGGTGATCGAAAAAATTTGTTAAAATTCAAGTGCACTAGAAAACAGCTTTTGTTCGGAACATCCCCTCGTTCACGGTCTAGATTTCTAGAAAACCCAGCGATCTGAAAAATCTGCAGGAAAGCAACCAAAAACAAAAAGGTCAGCTACTCGCGAACCCGGGCTCAGCGCGCCGCCATCATCACTTAGCGCGGAATGTCACACCGGGCCACAACCAACGTTGAATAATACCCCCTCTCGGTAATGATCGGCAAAAAACCCCTAGCGACTATTTCGGATCAACTGGCGGGATATGGAGGATATTCAACAAAACATTCCACACGACAAATATGCCATCTTTGCGAAGATTTATCCCATCGATATGAGCATGGAAGAACGCTTGACATCTTGTACTTCATGAATACTCTTGAATAGAAGGCGAAGTTCTTGTTTCACAAACCACAGAAAAAGCATGAGACATTCCAAAATAAACAGCTTTGATCTGACTGTAACTTGCCCCAAAATATAAAAATGAATTGAACGTGCCTCGAAAAAAGAAAGTTTAACTTGCATGCACGAATTTTCGAAACTTCAGTCTCTCTGAAGAGATTTTTGTACGAGTTAAAGTCACTGACATTTTTGCGCGGACTGAGTTACTTCATGTACCATTTCAGAAAAATTACTCAATCTTTTCCTGGTGATGGGAGAAAGGGACACAAAATTCAACACGACGGGTTGAGAGCTAAGCTTTAATTTAGCCTGACAGGGTCAATATATATATTTCCTCCCCCCAACCCTGATGAAAAAATAACCAGACTTCCATTCACAAGACGGCAGGAAGAAGGGAAACAAAGACCTGTCGATAATTCCCACCAGTTGATCCGAGTCCTACACAACACTTACTTTGTACTGGCCTCGTGTTAAAAAAAAAAGAAACGACACCGATAAGCACACGAATCCATGGCGCTCGATTTCATGGCACAACGATTTTCCTCTGGCCCTTTTCGTGGGCCCTAGCTAGCTTCACACTTGGTAAACTGTCCCAACTCGCGGAAGGGAAATTTTTCTGGTTGCATTGCTGAACAGCTGGTGAAAATTAAAAATTATGAATCAAATTTCATGACAAAAGGCTGAAGCGAATTCGACTTGTTCATTTGTTTCGATAGTGAATCGATAATTGCAAGCAGCAGCATGTAGATTTTTCTCTTCACCGGAAAAAATGTAAGGGTTTCCACATGGATTGAGCAATGAAGAATCTTCGAGTGTCTGTTTCCGCAATAGAGATTCTGAGACTTTCTCAAGCTTGGAAAATTTTCGTTTTCCCTCATGAAAAAAAGGAACTACCAATTCTACATTTTTTAAAACAAGATAATTCGATCTGACTCGGAAAAAACCGTTTCATTGATCGTTTGGCACCTTTCTTTTCCCCCCAACAAAGTCTCTTCGGTCATCTCGGGGTTTTTCCTGCAACCAACTGTTCAACAACAAACCTACGAGAATTAAGCTGCCACAAAAAAAAAAAAAAGTGGCATGGATAACATTTTTTGTTTCAACGGGAGCATTCAGAGAAAGCGGACGATAGAACCAGGCACTCGTTTTCCAATCAGAGCAACGGTCGGAAAACCGAAAAACAAAGCGTGGTAACATCCAACACCGAAAAAATAATACTCGAATCCGGATATCCGCATGATTGATCCCACTTCATCACGAAAGACACCTCGATAAAATTCTCGTTTTTTTCCTCTTTTTTCACCACTTGCTTTGTCGCGGGGGGAGTGGGGAAACGGAAGGCTTGAACACCGATCTGTGGCGCTTGTTGCACTGCATCCATGAGTTTGGCTCGAAAACAAACACACACAAAAAGCTCGCGAAAATATTTTTCCCATAACGCATGACTAGAACTATAATTATGAGTTGATTTTTCGTACACCATCAATGAATTCTTTTGTTTCTCCGAACGCGGGAATCACGATAATAATCTTTTCTGGAAAAACCAAATCATGCAAGCAGTGTGACAAGCGCCGAAACCCAGGGATAAAAACAAATGCGGCCCGATTCATACCAGGTACTTATTGTCCACTAATTTTAAAAAAAAAAAAAAAAAAACTTGTGCGGATTATCGCTGCTGACGCTTGGTTTTTTGTGATCATTATCTTTTCTTTGTTTTACGCCAAGGTTTCCCGAAAAAAAGGGCAAATGAACACTCGGAACGATGAGTGCAAACAAATCAAACCTCGGTCGAACCCTGAGGGCGGTTCATGCCCCGTCTTCTGGCCAGTGCGGATGCTCCCACAGGTCCAACATTGGGAGCCTTAGGCGACTGACTTATGGCACGGAACGTTGCATTTAAAGCTCCCTGTGAACAGAGAAACTTTCGTCACAAAACAAACACGTTATGTACCTTTGCTTTCTTCATATTCGAGTGATTCCTTTGCTTCATTTTCCTTTTCATGCCTGACCTGGCTTTCTCGAGTGTCTGTCGTCTAACCTCACCACAGCTAGCTTGAAGTCAGTGTTTTTAGAAGTTTTCAGATTTGCACTATTATTCCAATACTAAAATAATTTCATAATTTTCCTCGGATTCCTGAAAGTCTTGAATCTCGCTCAGATTTCTTAGAAGCTCCAGGCCCAAAACTTGAGATGCACAACAAGGAATAAGATTGCAAATCTAACAGATATTATTTAGAAGGGAGCAAGCGTCAACTGAAAAAAATTCTTGAGAACTAGAGATTTTTCTTAATTGTGTGCCGGGCTCAGAAGCACACGAATGCTGCAAAATGTTGCCACTTTGACGATCATGGCAATGAACACGCGCTTAAAATATGAAAACTAGAAAAACACAACGCAGATTCCGTGAGACGTTTTCATTCCACCCTTACTTTCTTGATCGTTACCAAGCTGAGAGAAAAGCTTCTGCGGAAGTTTCAGAAAGTTGATTGCGAGCTGCTTCAAGAATTTTTGAATAAAAATTCGAGTAGCGTCCCTTGTTCCGGTAGATAAATCCCAACGAAAAGAGCTATGTCAACTTCAACGTTAGAATTTAGGGAAAATGGAAACTATCTTGAAAATACTACAAATGTTTCTATTCGTTTCAAAACGTATGGAAAACTCCTCTTATCCTGACCAAACTACAAACTTCAAGCAACACCTTTGCAATTGAAAATAAAACCACAGAAACTAGGACGTCGGATATTGAAGCGATAAGAAACGGTTCTCCGAATCATGTGAACACGCGGAAACAAATAGGTAAAACACAGCACGAATGTATTTGTTGATTCGCCGTCAACTTCAGTTCCAGCCGACATTCCCGTCACGATGAATCGATTTTGTGAGGGGGAAAACGCATCCAAGAATTCCCCTCAACACATCGCATCAACCATTCAAATCATTGCAAATCAAATAAATTTACAATTCTTTATTATGTCAATAACTGTTTTTCATTCAGCAGCACAATCGAAATGTACGGAGTTCTTTGAAATTTTAAAAATTATATAAAATTAATTGAGGGGATTTTCAGAATAGTGACGCATGACATTTTTATTCGAGTGACTTGGGTTTTATTCATTTCTTAATGAAATTGATGAGTTTACTGACGTCGAAGGGGAGAGATTACGCTACTCCTAGGATTCCATGGAAGATTCCATAAAATTACCGTATTTACTCAAATATTGGCCCACCTTTTTTCAAATTTTACAATCTCAAAAACTGGGCGGTGGCTCATGCACATTTATTCAATTCGCGTAAATACTCGACTAAATTGAGAAATCTTCCTGTTTTCGCCCACAAAGCAACGGAACACTTCTTTTCTTCCGTTTGGAATTGAAGTTTAAAATAATCAAGAAATGTCAGCTTTTAGCACTTCAAGATGCATGAGTTATTGACTGAAGGGAAAGATCGAGGGTTTTGTGACACCCGTTTTTCTCTTTTCTGCGGAAAACCTAAAATTCGTCAGAAATTGTATGTTCCCGGAAAGTCACCAGGAACACCCGGAACGTAAGTGGGTGCTCATACTTGCCCCATCGATGGAATTTTTATTTCGCACATTAAAAATTCTTAGGGTGCTCATTTTTGCGTAAATCCGGTACTCATAAAATCCGACGTACGCAAAACACGCGAATGCCTCATAACTTTAAAAAAAAAAAAAAACGTACCTTAATACCCTTCTTATCGCGGATGATGAGTTGCTGACTGGAGTTGGAGTCCCGATTCGTGATCCAAGAGTGCTGGACAACTTGTGCAGCAGACGGTCGTTTCGCCGGGTCGATGTGCAGCATCTTGGAAACCAAGTCCTGTTGGACGACAGCCAGGAATGCTGTTAGTACTCTTTCAACTCGCAAAAAACTTTCGACTGAACGATTCCCCCCTTTTTTTCCCTCGTAAATTAAGAATGTCTTGTTTGGGGGATTTAAAAATAAAGCAGGTGACCTTGGCGGGAAGCGACACTGACGCCCAGTTTCCGGAGTTGAGTTTCAAGTTCCCTTCCCCGATGCGCTTCAAGATTTCATTCGGCGTGTCGTCTGGTCCGGTGGCAAATGGCGTGTGACTGTGAGGAATGTTCAACACATTGCTGTCATTCAAAACATTCACCACACCCCCTCTCTCTGAAACCTCAACCAACTTCAATGTCTCAATTTTCCTTTCCAATTTCCTTTACGAATAAAACATTCCCATTGCATACCGAGAGTATAACACAAAATCCTAGCGGGCCGTCTTTCCTGGATATTGAACTTGACTCAAGTGAGCGTCGATAATCTCAAGAAGTTCAAACTATCTTCAAACTTCATCAAGAGCAAAATAAGATCAAGCTGTCAATTAACAAATTCACTCACCAAATTGAACAGTGTTCAAAATATCCTTCGGGAACTGAGGGAGTTCGTGAAGTAAAATTAAATCGTACTCTCGTGACTTGGGAAGCTCTTTTTCTCCAAACAGTATTCACTAAAATTTCTTACGCGAAGAAAATGTTCCTGTCGAACGATCTTGAGTATACTACTGTACCAGAAACTTGCTGACGGAAAATTCACCTCGATAGTAATTTAACTACAGTATACTATCCTCAATTCTTTTAAAATTTTTCTAAATAAAAAAAACTCCTACTTCAATCACTGCTCAGTAAATTTTAGCAATTAATGCTCAAGACTCGATTCTTCCTCGACATTCGCCGAAGTTGAATTTTTTTTTTAATCTTGAATTTAAATTCATCGAGGTTAACCTCTACAAGACACCGTCAACAAGGTAAAATTTCAGGGTCTTTCTACAGCAAGTCGTCAGAAGGACAGTCAATCCTTTTTCTATTCAGTTAAAATGTCATTTGAATAGCTTCTGACAACCTCGAAACATTTTTAATTTTTCGTCACGTTAAATAAAAATCAAAGTGAGCAGATGAGAGCAGAAGAATACACTCACCCAGCAAGCATAGTGAAGAGGATAACACCTAAACTCCAAACATCACAAGCAGCATCGTAGCCCTGCTTCTTGAGAACTTCAGGCGCAACAAAGTTGGCCGTGTAGCACGGAGTCATGAGCAGCCCGTTGTCAGCGCGAAGTTGTTTCGCAAACCCAAAGTCACACAATCGCAATGATTCCGCGTAATCGAATTCATTGCTGGATGCATTGTTACCAGAAAACATCACGTTTGACGGCTTCAGATCTCGGTGAACAACCTGAAGAATTGTGAGAAAAATGGAGTGCAGATTAATTAAGAAAGAAATGACACGTAATCCGGTCACCATCTTCTTCTAATATAATTTATTCTTCTAATCTGATAATTATTTCCACAACGTCCCTATTCTTAGAATTTTTATAAAAGAGACAGAAAGTTAACAATTCTTTCGTGAGAACTGACTAGTCTGAGAACAATCAACGAACCCCATTTTGATGCAGATACGCCACAGTCGAAGCAAGGGTTTGCATTATTGAAGCAGCCTCTCGTTCAGAAAAAAACTTCTGCTTCACAATCTTGTCGAATAGCTCGCCTCCTTTCATGAGCTCCAACACGAGGTAAACATTTGTAGAATCTTCGTACACCTGTCCAAATGCAAGAATAGATTCAACAATACAGAACTATTTTTGGAAACGCACAAGTACAAAGTTCTATTTATAAGAGCTTACTCACGCTGTGTAACGTTACAACATTCTGGTGAGTACCGTAACGTCTCAAAATATCAACTTCTTCCCTGCAGTCACGTTTATCTTTCGGTACAATCTGAAACATGGTTAGAAGGATGATAATCATTTCAGAAAATAAAATGATATATCGGAAGGACAATACCTTGATGGCGTATTCCACCTTCGTTTGTCGATTCACGCATCGTTTGCAAATGGAATAACTTCCTTGGCCGATTTTCTCCAAGATTTCAAAATCATCCTGGATGTTTGTGTGCTTCGCACATTGTATGAACTGCGAAGGAAAATAATAATAATTATAATTTCACAACAAGATAACATACTCATCAATTGATGAAATACTTTGCTTTCAATGAGGTGTTGAGCCGGTTTACATGGAGTGTCCTTATCAAGGATTGAGGGCGCCACAAAACTGAAGCCTCGAAAAAGATCATGGGCATTTGCACTCGCAGGAATCCCAGGGGAATCTGCGTTTTGCAAATAAAAATCATAACAAATTAATCTGAACAGAAAAACCAGATAGGCGACAGACGAAACAAACCAAGAATTTACCTCTGTAGAGAATCTACTACTTTCATGATGAAAATTCAAGAGCAAAATTCACCTCTTGGTGTGCGAGCAGTGAATTCCGTGTCAAAGTAAAACGCATCATTCTCAATGGGAATCGCCGGCTGGAAAGGTGGCGTTATTTCCTTTTTTAGAAGTTGAACCCAGTCGATGGAATTGAAGAAACAATGATTCTTGATTTCATTGATTCCCTCGGGACCTGTAGAAAAATTTTAAAAATACATGAAAATAAATCACAAATGAACCTCGCTAACTAGAATCTCCGTACGTCGAATTTTCTTCAAGTCCCTGTTTGAATTTTCCTATAAAACTATACATTAAAAACTTCAACTTGAATGCTTTCCCCCATAAACCTCCATAGGTCGAATTTTCTGAAAGCCTGTAACCATTATTATATTATCGACACAGGAAGGAGATGAGCAATAAAAATTTAATTTTATGTACTGCACTTAGAAAGGAAGTGAAAGATTAACCGGGAAAATAAACTTTTGCCTTCAACTTCAGCATCCTGTCATCTCATGCAGGAAGAAATTTAAGGCCCAGAATATCACCAATCACGATTTCCAGTGATTCCTCTTGCTCTCTGGCTATTAAAATTTATTTCGGGTGGAAAACCTCCGCACATGCGTAATTTTCTCAGACTTTTAGCAAAATACAGTATATACCATTCTTTGAATAAGCAGTAAGGTCTACGTACGTCTCCAATCATTCAATGCAAATGTTCAAAGGAGAAGAAGCAATTCATTCTCACCTGCACCAAGTCTATTCACGGGCGTTCGCTTGAACAAAACGCGAAGCAAAGCCTGAGCCTCCGGTGACAAAAACTGCGGCATTTGAAGCTTTGCTTTCATGATTTGATTCATTGTGTCTTTTCTGTTCGGACCACGAAAGGGTAGCTCCCCCGTAAGCATTTCAAACATCAAGACTCCAAATGACCACCAGTCCGCAGCTGTTGTGTGGCCCTTTCTCGAAATAACTTCTGGGGCCATGTATTCAACAGTGCCACAAAACGAATAGGTTTTTTCGTCATCCAGACTTTCTTTGCTCAATCCGAAGTCCGTAAGAGAAATGTGGCCTTTATTGTCAAGCAGAATGCTGAAAAAATATAATACTTTCTCACAAACGGAAAGACTGCACGGCGAAACAACTAATTCAACAATACAATCCATACTTTCATCTGTACCGTAGTGCTCGTATCGATTTGAGCGACAGGAAAAAATAAAGCGGAATATCAAATCACAGATTCAATAAATGATATTTATTCAGCATTTCTACACGAACTAATACTGTACTGAAATTTTCACTGCTTCGTTGAACCAGACCCCATTTAATTCTTCAGATTTCATGAGCCACCACAGAAACGATGAGAATCAAAGTAAAATGACACAACCAAACTTCTAATAACCAAACATATGGGTGATATTCACGTCAAGAACTGGCAAAAAAAAAGCTCATATCTTCAATAATCTGAACTATTATCATAATAAAGCTTTACTAGCCTGTAGCTAACCTCGCATGACACCTTTTTACTCACAAAACCTATTTACTTTAGGTTTCGGTCGAAAAATTCGCAAGGCCCAAGCATTGCGGAGACAGATTCAACAACGAAGAACCCGATCATGAAATATTGCACATCATTATGGGGAATGGAAAAAGCCTCACTTTTCTGGTTTCAGGTCTCGATAGATGATACCAAGACCATGAAGATGATCCAAAGCTAATGCAAGCTCCGCAAGGTAGAATTTTACGTCTTCTTCGGTGAACATGACCTGTTGAATAAAACATACTGTAGTTACAAAAGGGAACACAGGAAATTATCGTGAGAATCTCACTTCTTTTGCAAGTCTGGTGAACAAGTCACCCCCACGAAGGAAGTCAAGGATGAGGTAGAGTTTTCCTTCCGTTTGAAAAGCATAGTGAAGTTTCACAATGAAGGGGTGGCTAACATCAGCGAGTATGTTTCTCTCCAGTTTCGTTCTCACACGATCACGAACTAAAAAAAAAAAACGATTTACTATGAAGACGCAACATGAAAATCACGCATTCGCAGTAATACACATATCTGCAAGCAACGCTTTAATGAATTATAACCCTGAAAATTTAAATTTCCAAGCGTCTACACTCAAACCGAACGCAAACCTAGGAACGCTGAATTAATAAGCGTGATTTCGTAAACTCACTTTTCAAGGTAGCTTTCTTCAACACTTTCATGGCGTAAAGGGTATCTTTGTCTTTCCCAATGATTTTCTTGACAAGAAACACCTATGGACGCATAAAATGTTTATTAATACAGTATGAAGAGCGCGCCAAGTCGTCACTTTACTTTTCCAAATGATCCTTGACCCAAAACTTTCAACAGCTCAAATTGCTCAGGAGTAGCCTTTTCATGGCCATCACGGGTAACGTCGTTCACTTCAATTTCTTCCGTATCCGTGTCGGGAGATTTCTTCAACTCGGGCTGTGATTGTTTGTTTCCACCAGGAGAATGACCAGAATCGGAAACGTAAGTCGCATTCATTTCACTGGCTTTTTCATGATCGGGAGAATCTTCATCCATCGTAACCATGGACGTTGTCGTGCAATTTTTGCCGGACGTGGTTCGAGCTCCATTCGCAGGTTTGTCGGATTTGGTATTTTCATAGGAACACGCGTTGTTGTTGATGCCGTCAGACTCGCTCTTCAAGTACTAAAAAGATAGATACTCTAGTTCTACATCCGTGAAACATAGGCAAACACTGCTTCCCGTGATGAACTTCTTGTAGAGGTTTAAAGTCGTAAAGAGCAGTGAATAAATAAAGGCACGCGCTATCTTACCTCAGTTGAGGATCCATCCACCATCATAACTTCCACGGGGGCCTAGAAATAGCAATTTCGAGAATAAATAAAATGCAGGCCCAATTAAACGCGGATATTTCACCGTAAGGTCTCTCTTGGGGGCGATGTTGATCCAGGGATCTATTACAGGACCAGCCAAGGGCATCTTGGTTTCTTTACACTCGGTCGACGAGAAGTAACCAACATCAATCAAGGAGTCCAGGTTTTCGGAAGCTCCGCCGTTGCGAGACCGATTGTGGATAGAGGCGCTGGCGGCGTCGCACTTCCGCGTGCGAGTTCTAAAACTAACTTCCGCCAGCCCAACAAGCAACGGCAACTACACTGAAGATAATGCATCAAATTCACCTTCACAGCCGCAACATACGTTAGCGAATTCAAGCACCTAACCAAGCCATAGACGAATTTCAAGAAATCCAACGGATAACATCTGCACAAAAGATTGCACGATTTTCACATCTTCGTTCCTAGAGCCAAGTCTTAGGTACACACGAAACCCGCAGTATGCTCCGACGTATAGCAGATTAGCACTGAATGACTAATTTCGTGGAATCCTGGCGTTCGTCACACGTGGGGTCAAAACTTCACACGGCGGGAAACAACTCCTGCAATGGAAATCACTCGATTCCCACAGAGCTGTCTTGTAAAGTCTTAGTGCTGTTCAGTATACAGTAGTACTGTACAATATTTGACTGCAGATCAGTTTCATACATGTGTCATTGAAACTTGAACATGTTGATATATGCAGTAAAAACTCCCATTCAAGTGATCAATCTGGCGAATATCAAAAAAATTTTACTGCCATATGCAGAAGACTTTAGCAGAAGCGATTATATGCCTGGATAATAGTCCAATGCTGGATTTACTTTTCAACTCCGGATGACATTTCGATTCTGTCATAATGGTCTTGACAGAGATTACTGGATAATTTTAAAATTATTTTATTATCACAAATTTCTTGATCGCATTTTATTATCACAGATTCCGTTGTTAAATCGCTCAGAACTATCCCTCCCGCGAGTGGTCTGTACCAAACTGCGGGCATCTATACAGGCGGAATACCTGACCAGCAGCAACGAGCTGCGGCCGAAAGATTATTCCACCACCCATATGTAATACTTAATGGAGTAAGTGTTATGCTAGATTCTCGATCTTGTGATCCATGGATGACAAAAATGGGTGTCGTATACGCACGTGTGAGAAGTTGGGGGTTTTTCGGACGGCCGCATGTACGCACTTCGAAACGATTTTACCGCGCTCTCCAATAATTCATACATGATATGTGAACAATTTAATGCATGAGAATTCGCGAACAAAAATTCGCAGTTTTGAGAAAATTCAAATTTCTTCCTTTTACCTCCAGTTAAAACATAAAATACAGTAGTGTGTAGTTCCTATGAGCATAGTACTGCATATGCAGTGCTGTACATTTTTGTATTGTATGATCTATGTGTACCCAGTAAGTACTATTAGCTATGTATCATCCGTATTGCCCATAGATGTCGCTAAAAAAGCCATTGCGGCACAAATGTCGGTCAGAAAATCGGGATTGCGTTGTGCGTTTCGAGGGAGCATGGACATTACAGCAGGGGATTGAACTGAGGGGCTATTCACTTGGATGCCACTCTGCTAGGGGATTCTTCCACTCCCTCCCACAACACCCTTATGAGTGACTGGATGAGTAGCGCACGTTTCTTAATATAGAATATCATGCTGAAATCGGTGTAGGAAGAAAATATTCTGTATCATACAGTACTTGAAGTGGGAGAAAATAATGTATTAATACAGTCAGACCTATCTAGGTTGAATTTAAAGGGACCAGCAAAAACTGTGACTTGGAAGAGGTTTTGTGTTATATAGAGGTTTGAGTTAATGGAACCAAGGATTTTTATGTTGTAGGAAACTTTGAAAATGTGCACAAAATGTAAATGGTGATATTCTGGGCCTTAAATTGATCCTAAAATGAGTTGAAAGGATGCTAAACTCTGGAGGCAAGGGGTTCATTTACTCAATTCATCAGTCTGTACGTCACATCCTTTTAAACACATCAAATTCCATTTTTATTGCTTTTTTCCTGAGTCAAGAAGATAAAGGCCAAAAAGGCCTCTGAAAATTCAACTTATGCAGGTTTTATAGAGGAAAACTCTTTGAGTTAGGGAAGTCTTTAATGCATTGTTCATAAGGGAATCCAGACAGGAACTTGAAACAAATTTGACTTATAGGGAGGTTCAAATAACTCATCAAGGTTATTCAAACTGCATCTAGTTTTTAGTATTAACAATGCATAATGTTTATTTTGCTGCTATTTTAGTAGAAGTATTGCCTGTCATCCAGTAGGAGGGCTTTCCATAATTCCAATAAAACTAGCTGTGTATATATGTTATTAATCACTGGAGGTTAATATTGGATTGTCAGAATACGTTAAAATCTATTTTGAATTTTTTTCCATAATTTGCGCAATGTAATTTGGATAATCAAAGTTTGTTTATTTACTTTAAGCATATTTTTTCAGATGTGTGTCATATGTCATCCCCCCCCCCCCCTGAAAGTCTTCTCAGATCTACGCAACCTAATTTTTTAAGTTGAACTCACTCAATAGAAGCCACTGCTGGTGGCTCTGAGAGAGAAGCGCCGGCAGGGGTGGCGTGGAAGAGGAAGCCCGGAGTGAAGTGGCTTTGAGTCGAACTGAGTCTGAAGCTTGGCGCATTCTTGAACGTTGTGATGATCCTGTGTTATTGAAGTCATGCGCATCTTACCATCGAACACGTCATCACATGTCAGGTATCGTGTGTTTCAGCTGGTGAAATTATCTGTGAATTATTCTTCCAGTGTGATGCGAGCGTAGAGGATAGGTGGCGTGTGAAAGATCGCCATCAATTGCAATTACAGTATTGGAATCTGCTGCTGGCGATCGACACATTTTGACTCATGATCGCCTTCTTTTCGTACGAGCGAATTATTAATGCGAAACATCAGTGTTGCTCTTCGTTCATCTGATTATAATTGAGTTATCAATTTAGTTAATATGGATGTATGTTGATTGAATTGCCCTGACAGTGTGGAATTCGGACTTATTCACTTCTCCTTGGCGTTATGTGATTATACCGCCGTTTTCACACAATTTTGATGGGAGATCCGGCTCCTTTTCAGAAATCGTGATTTTACTCTACGCTCACTTTTAATCTTACTTCAATATCGTGTTGAATTTACGATGGTTATTCACATCGTTATAAAAGCGTCAAATCAAATGGTACCTGATGTACCGATTGTCTGCCAAGATGACTGGACAGTTCATCGATTGAAAGAAGAGATATGTTCGGAGTATCCGACGAAGCCTACTGTCGAAGATCAGCGTCTTATATTTGGTGGAGCTTTTCTTACTGACGATTCTCCTCTGGCTGAAGTGTTCAAGCAAAAACACATTGGCGCCGAACCAGAAGAACCTCTATCAGCTCACACCATTCATCTGGTATTGAATCATGATGTTGCCTCGCGTGTGAAAATTGTTCCTGAAGTCAGAGCGAAGAAACCAAGTAATGATCCATTGGTGGTCAGTGAAGATGGCTTGCGTAGACGCATCAACTCGTCTGGTCCCGAAGCCTATGAAACTCGTCCTGCAGGTGAAACATTTAGTTTCTTAGCATCTAAATTTCGAGAGCTATTATTTCAGGAACCCCTCTTCTTTTGGTTGAAGATGTAACAATTCAGTGTTTATTCCATACGCTTTCAGACTTCGTATTCAGTTCAGCCATAGAGGGTACACATTTTACTCCAAGTGAAAGGTGTCTTTTAAATTCCTATAAACCAGGAGGCATGTTGAAATTGAATAATATCTCATTTTGACATTTTTTAAATTTTTGTAGCGATAAAAACTTTTGATTCTACTGTATGTATTACTGTATTATTGTACCACGAGCACGCGCGAATAAGTTTTTCACAAAAATTACTGTCGTGTGGTATGTGCGTCATACTTGAGTCTCCTGGCGGAAATATGTTGGACTGATCTTTGATATTCAATTTTTTCAAGAGCTACCAGGAAGGAATATCCGAATTTAATTATTTTTGTCTTTTTCTGCTTTATTCAAAATTAATTCGAGACGATACGATTTGTGAATAGTATTTATTTTAAAATACAGTTGTTTAAATAATTCTTGGTCGCAGAAATGAGGGAAAACTAGTATGCGCGTCTTATGCGGAAATATATTCCCCATAACAATTCTTGTGAAAAAATCCCGGTGCAATTTTTTCTCAAGGGTTTGTGGTGCTTGGGTAGATGCTTTCTTGTATTTATTTAAATTTTCTAGTTAATATTCTTCAAACCACGACGGATCGAACTTTTTCCTCTTCATTTGACGGTTTGAGGAAATTACCGCGTTTAGCGGTACAGGGAAACAATTTTTAAGATCAGAACTACAATCTTCTTCAATGTTCTTTAATTGTAGCGTGGTTTTACTGTCCCTGGCGCTGTTACTGATAGTACAGTACTTTTTAAATACTGTACTGTATATACAATATTTGGTAGCGTTTGGACTGTGTATAAATTTTTAAATCACAATAGTGTATGAACCTTGTTTTCTCAAAGTCATGTAGTTTACCTATCTTGAACGCAGGTGTCGACTATCATGTTGTAAAAAAATCATGTCAAACGCATCAATTCAACACAACTCCGAAATAAATCAAATTACTTATCATTCATCTAGCACTAGTCATTTATTGCTAATATTGGGAATATCTCAGGAGCTGCACGATTACCCGCCTACCAAAATGAAGCAGAAGCCCGAGCTGCCTACAACGCTGTGATGTCATGGTACATGGTCCACTATCGCCCATACTATGACTGGTATTGCCAGACTTACTACGGCGTCCCTTTGCCGCCGCCACCAACAGGGGGAGCTGCATCAACACCTGGAGCAGCACCGCCTGAAAGCCCACCGAACCCTGAACAGCCACCAAGGAACGGAAACAACCAGCAAATGCGAATGGATGCCCAGGGAAACGCGTTTTTTGCCGACGACGACGACGAAGACAATGCTCGGGAATGGGACGTTTTGGACTGGATCTACACCATTGCCCGCTTCGGAGTGTTTTTGTCTATTGTGTATTTTTATTCTACCATGACTCGATTCGGGGTGATTGTGTGTTTGGCGTTGTTGCTGCAGTATTTACACGCCAGGTTGAGGAGGGACAATCGTAGGCAACAGAGGAACGCTGCTGATGCACCAGCTAGGCAAGAGAATGAACAACCTCAACAACAGCCTGAACCCAGGCCCAGTGAGCCACCGAATGAGCAAACTGAGAGTGAAAATGTGGCCGAGGAAGAGGAAGCACCGAGGGGCATTTTTGCCATTTGGGCTTTCGTGTACGCTTTTGTCTCCTCAATTTTTCCCGAGGTTCCTGCAAACTGAGGTTTTTTGTTGTTTTTATGCCAGCGGTGATTGCCAGTTACAGTAAAATTGTACAGGCTCGACGAAGAGGATCTAGCTTTCAGTTTTTTAGACATTTGATGGGAAGGAAATTGATGCTGTAAGAAACACCGAAATTAGTGGAATGTATTTGTGGTGCAAAAAAAAAAAAAAAGTTGCCTCCTGTCCTGTGTTTGCCTCCATGCTGTGGGTCTTGGTTGAAGTGATGTTTCTGGAATATTCAATTGGGAGTGCTATGAAAGCGTTTGTCTTCTATGAATTTTTTTAAAGATTTTATTTCTCTGCTTGAGGGTGAAAAAGGCGGCACAGATTCATGGCAACTGGACTCTAGTCCTTAGTTTCATACACAATTGTGTGTTCCACGCAATAAAGCAATTTCTGGTCTTGGCAAACATGATCTCATTAATTGATATCCAGCACCACCACTCAAGTATTTACAATTTTATGAGTAATTTTGAATGATTTACAAGAGCATCTGTCTACTGGTTCCTCAACCTACAAATAACTGCCTGACAAATTTCATGAAATGCGAGATCTTAATTTATCTGAAATTTTATTCTTGCCTGACAAATTTGTCCATCCCTTCTTTTTTGTGAGGGGTAGTACCTTTTCTAATTAATATTTTACCAGAAAATTGTGTCAAATTGATTGCATTGATTTGGAAAGACACTTCAATTAGCATGAGTCAAGAAGTGGACTCGCTTTGATTCATTGTATGGTTCAAACACTGAGTAGGCAATCAGGGCCCATGTTCAGTGAGAATCGAACAGGTTGTAGATACTGTATTCCCTAATGATGCTCAAGCAGAGAATTTAGCACTTTACTGTTGGTGCTTGGAAGATGTATCCGAATCCAATCAAAATCGTGATTTGGTTGACAGGAAATAGCCATGGAAATGCAGTCATGACCTTTCAATCAATTTTTGTACACGTTTGCATCATGAAACCACTCCTTTGTCCCAAAAATTGATTTTAGGCTGTTAGTCTTACCAATACAGTCAAACATTTTCAAAATTTTCCTTGCATGCAATCCAGAGGAAATCTTAGTATGAGAAGAACACCGTGATACTCAGCCCAGGATCCTCAAATTTTGAAAGCATTTTAAATGGTTTTTTAAAATATTTTCATCTTTGCATGCTTAGCCCCAATAAGAAGGGTTAAATTATCAAGTGACCTGTCAGTGCTGGAATAGTTGATGAAATACTTGCAGGCATTAATGACAATGTATTTTCATTCACATTTTCAAATGAAAATTCAATTGCCATCTGTCAGAATATATGAAGGTTTTTAGAAAATGAAAAAGACTGCTATCAGCCAGGATGCTTAACACCCTAGTGTAATGTTGATATATTTGAGAATTGGAAGTACAGTATTAGCAACACTACTAGCAGAAAGGGGTTTATAATGTATTTTGTTTGAGGCTGTCAAAAATGAAGTGATGCCAAAACAGGGAGCTATTTTTGAATCAGGAAGATTCTCTGAGAATTACTCTGTTCTTGATGACAAATGAGAAGAAAGCTCAAGGTTGAGAAAATTGTGGGAACATGAGGTCAAACTTGGTTTCATGAAATTCCTGAAGGATTAGACCTCATTTCAAAGATTTATTTTATTCTTATAAATTTACATTTCTTATACCCAACACCATCAAGCAATTATGCATGAATTTATAAGAGTGATATACAAATAAGGAGAAACTCAAATTGAAATAATTAGAGAACTTAATTTTTTAATTTCCAAAAGTTGATACATGGAAACAAAGTGAAGTTATGCTGTAATACAATGTGAACAAAAGAATGCACAGTGCTGTAAATGACACCCATCCACAAGAATTTGATTACCAAGAATCACTCCAGAAAATTATATTTTTAAAAAATTGGCAGTTGGGCCAAATGTGACACGCCTTGACAACTGCCTTTGCCTCATGCAATAGTGAAATAAAAAATTGTTGGTTATTTATACCAATATAGTATCTGAACAGTTTCAGTTATGGCCGAGAATGGACATGGGTAAATGCAGTAAATTAGAATGGAACCAGAATGTGTGGCCCCTGGTTTCTGAAACTAAAGCCATGATGAGCACTTATCTAAGAAAAGCTGAATGATCACTGTGATATTTAAATGTACGTAATATATACAGTACATATATATAGCCTTCTATATAAACTATACTTAAACAATGCAGATGACAGAATACAGTATTATTAACCTTTTGTGGAGTTCTTTGCTTCCCACGCAGCTCCTCAGTATAGGTACAGTTTCATGGGAGCACCCCGTTGCGCGATGTCCATCCAGTTAATGAAATAGTGACTTGAATATAAATGGTTCATGAGTAATGTTTTTATTTTACTGTACTGTAAAGTACTTCATCAAGTAGACATCGTAATACTACCCTTCAATACATTGCGCCACTTGTAGATGTCGCAATTATCAAAAGCATGGCGGCTTACAGTATATTACCGTTAGTTGTCCATCACTGGGGTACTGAGAGTGGTTTCTCTGAATTTATTCTATCCCAGAAGAGGGATTACATTCATTGGCGAGGAACTGTCGGATGCGACACATGTCGAAACACTGAGTTTTCTCTACGCTGAGTGCAACAATAAGTTCTTTCGTGATCAATCTCTATTCCAGGGTTGTTGGTCTCGAGTGTTCAAGATTCCGTTGGCCCGAAATTGAGTTGTTCAGAAAAATTCTGTTGCAATGTGCGGCTTGTTAGCTTGACTTGACAGAAAAGCTGTGAATCGGAGGGCATGGGCTCGGATTCTGAATCGCGTTGCGAACGCGTCCTGACTGGCGCATTCACCACGTGTTGTGACGCATCGTGACGTGAAACTTTTTGCTGTCTGCTCTGAACGGTTCTAGTTGCAAGATGGTAAAGGATAAGCCATTGCCACGAATGTACGATGCCGATGGCTACAAAAAACGTGCCGCCTGCATTTGCGTTCAAACGCGACCTCATACTGAGGTATTACGAACCGTCTCTCGAGTTATGCATCTGCTTCATTTTGTTTCACAACCGTACATAATTTGCTGCTACTTTGGTTCATTTTTTCAGCGATCTGAACAGTTTCATGATCGCCGAATGTTCATCAGAAAGTCTGCTTTCTGATGAAAATACTCGTGGCTACCTCATAATCTTCACAATTGAACCTTTAACCGATATCAAGTAGTTAAAGCAAATAAATTAACCTCATTGTCAGGCTTCTACGTGATGTCGTTTGTAAATTATCGTCATCGTGGAATTCCCAGGTTCTGTTGGTGACGTCTTCAAGGATGCCTGAACAATGGATTGTCCCTGGTGGATCCGTAGAACCAGAGGAAGATTCCAGTTTAACTGCCATGCGAGAAGTGGAAGAGGAAGCGGGTGTTCGTGGACAGCTCGACGGTCTAGTCGGCATATTTGAGGTGCGTGGAATGTACATTTCTTCCAGCTGTTTTCATCGTAAACTGTAGTTTCGCCGAATTTTTTCACATATTATTGCAATGGCGTAATGTACTGTGATCGTCTTGTTACCGATCCCTTGCTAAGCTAGTTTTTGAAATTGACCTTGGTGAATCGTCTATTTTCGGAGACGACAGAAATATATTGAAGTTCTGAATTTTTTCAGGATGACAACCGGAAGACCAGAACCTCTGTTTTTGTATTGATTGTTACTGAAGAGCTTCCGGAATGGGAAGACTCTCAGAGAATAGGTGAGTGTATTTTTTTTATTGTATTTTTCGAAAATGGAAAGGGGGAAAAGATGTTTTAAAGAATTGTGAGATGTATAATTTACCCGTGTCCTCGTCCTCATTCTTCGTAAAGTTTCACAATGAAGTCCGAGGAAGGAGAATTTTGCCCTCGCTTCACATTCCGAAGGTTTCAGGTGGCTCAAAGAAATGTGTACAGGGTATCATAAAAAGTGTATGGAGAAAATGCCCCCAAAAAATCTGCGATTGAAGAAAATCCATGGCGAAGAACGTTTTTGATGTTGATGCCGCGGTGTTCAGGAACCTTCATGATAAAATACTGTACTGACAAGGACTGTTGCACATCACCATCTTTTGGATATCCCTTCCATCTGACATTCTTCGGAGTTACATTTCGAGCTTTAACATGGTTGAACCGAATGGTATATAAAGATTAAGTACTGTATTTAACTTAGGGCGGAAACGGAAATGGTTCAAGCTCGAAGAAGCCGCGGAACTCCTAGCTGCTTACAAGCCAATAGAACGCAGGTACCTCCAGATGTACCTGGAACGGAATCGCGTCCCAGAATCTCAACCCGTCGCGGACAGGCTCTGTCACAGCGACGTTGACGTCAATGTCGTCATGGTGAAGACTGGCAATGCTGCCGAGAGCAGTGACGAAGATCAGGCCCCTCACTTCCGCCTCCCCAACGTCCGGCAACACTGACAATTCTGCATTGGGGTTCTTTGAAATTTCGTGCAACCGCCAAGTGCCCAGCTTACGGCTAAGAGTTCATATCCATTTGTTCCTTCTTGCGTGTTCCCCGGCAGACTTTTTCTTCGCTTTGCCCGAGTCCACTGGAAAATCTGAACTGTTCGAGTCCTGTGCTCATCTCCTTCACCTTTCGTGTTTTTTTTTTGTGTATCGGAAACCTTTGAAAGAATTGTGGGAAAAGGTTTATTGAGTTGGTGCTGTTCTAGTTCACGTGACCTTACGTTGTACATTCTCCTAGTGGATAACCCAACTCAAAAAGTATGTCCATTCTTCTTTTCAGCAAATCGATGATGAAGTCAAACGCAGGTTTATTAGTCGTGAGCAAAGTAGAATTGAAGGTGTTGTCATCTGTTTCGTCTCAATCGCTCGGCAATGAGTGAAGTATTGATTTTGAGAGAAAATCTGGAACTGAAAAATTGCTTTAGCTAAGTTTTTTTTTTTGAGAAAGTTGTCGAATTCACATGCGCTACGCTAATGACAATTGTTTTCTCTATGGATGTATTAAGAAATAGAAAGTAACTCAGTTGGTAACCTCCAGAATCACTTTGAAGGATTGCTCACATATCAAACTGTATTGTGAGCATGTCATTCTTAGATCCTCTGGTTGATTTTGTAGTGGACCATCATCATTAATGTAGTTGGTTACTTACTAAAACAGCTGTTTAGCAGTCTTCGTCGTATGCCTTTGTTTCTGAGAACCGAAGTAGGATTTTGATTGAATGGTTTCCCTTGAAATACTGTACATTATTTGCGGTTGAGTCTTTCGAAAGAATTGTACTGTACTCTGTCCATCTTATGCCTGGTGCTCGCGTGGCTCTTTGCTGTGAGGGGGAACATGGCGGTCACGGTTTTCTTTGCTTTTCTTTCAAGAAATACCCGAAATTTCTCCCACGAAGGTTTCCTCTTTTTGCCCCCCCCCCCCATGTCCACGAAACCGAGAAAATGCCCTCTTTTGCCTTTTTTTTTCCTGATGTCTGGTGAGATTTGCTCGAGTCTTCCTTTAATGCAATGCTCGATTGAAACGCTGGTTTTCTGCTTCGGTTAATCGCCAAGTTTTTCTGTTCCGCGAACTCTGCTTGTGATAGAAATGAGGGAATACGATGTCTTATAAGAGACCCCCTTTTTTGTACGCTAGTTGGTAATATTTTGTAGGAAGAGCAGAGAAAAGGTTTCCTGCAAGGAACATTTCAAGGGCATTCTTTGTTGTATTAACCTTTCCCCAGAATTTTGTGGGAGATCACCGGTGATTTTCTGAGTGGAAGGGATTTTTCCAATGGATCGTGATGATTGCGGGCATGGCGAGTGTTGAATGGGAGGCGATTTTGTATGAATGTCAGTGCTTGCCGACTTCTTGCATTTTGTGCATTTCTTCGATGTGTGTCGGAATTTTCAATGATAATTCATTGTTTCATGTGAGTTGGTAATTGGATCAATAAAAATCTTTTGCAGCTCCGCCCAGCGTATCTCACAGAAAGTCCATGAAAATTCCTCATAATGTACCTGCATATTCTAATGTGTCAGCCTAAATGTAAGTAAAGAAATCCTGACATGTTGGTGGCATGTGTTTGTTCAGGAGACGCCTATTCTCCCCCCCCGAGAACTTTCAAATGAGGATTTTATGTAGTACCAGTTTTCGTGATGCAGCGCCTTGCAATACAAGGTTGAGGGCAAGAATTATCTCAAGAAATTCCTCAAAACATGTTTTCATGTCAGCAATCACTTTAGTTGATGTCGCGCTAAGCTGATATTTGGATATGCAGAAGTACAGTATATTTCTTTCCAGAATGTGAGACGAAAATTTTTAAATCTAAGCGTTCTTGGGATAGGAATTAAAGTAGCCGCCGAAGAAGATTGCAGTACTGTACCCTTCGGTGCATTTTAGAAGCTTCGTACCACGAATACCTGAAGTAATCAATAAGAAAGTCACATACGGCTTTATTCACAAAACCTTCACTCGCAAATAAAAACGAAAAGGGCGATGTACAGTACTTCAAAAAGGACATGGTTTGAATTTCTGAAAGAATTCAGAGAACCACTCTATAAACAAAATATTCAACAGCCATCTCTCCCGTTCTTGTACCTGTCAAATTTTTCTTCCGTGGCTCGAAAATGCTCGCGATTTCACCGAGGGGTGATTGCCAAATTTCGCTGTCATCACCTTCCTCACACTACAGCACAGTATATCTCTCTCGCATTCAACAGAAGCCGTATTTACCAAGAGGCCAAGTCGTTCAAACACATTTTCCTGAATCAATTTCCCCAAAAAGGCAACAGAAAGTCCGAAAATCGTCATCAGGTGGTGAATTCGTCGAAAATCAAATCGGTTCCATCTTGATGAGTGTCAAAACGCTTTCAGGCTTCAAACAAGCGGATATGAAGCAGAAGAAGCAATGCCACATTGGTTGTCCTTATTCCGGGACATCCTCACGTATCCCTTATCTCCCCAAGTGGTTCCCCATGAATTCTTGACCAACCAGAAATCTTGTCCCGTTTTGGCGTCAGTTCCGTAGCCGACAGCAAGAACACCATGATCCAAGTTTTGCGGGTTGCACTCCGGCTCATCATACACCCCTACCAAAATATCAGCCAATAAACCGTTTACTGTATTGTACAGTAATGTATTCAAAACAAATATGAATACTGTAACATCGCTAAAACCACCTTTTCACACTATGATCCTTGAATACTCCACCTCTAGTGATTACTTCAATAATTTAACCTTCCTTTTACCACAAACTATTCAAACATAACACGTTAACAACAGAACCTAAAACCAAAAATCTAACTGTCCGAACATTGAATCCAAATAACGTGTCTCAAACCAATCATAGCTCAATAATCGAGTCAAAAGTAAATTATACATGTACGAAGAACGTAAATCATCACCACTGACATGAATGCGGAAAAAATACTGACGACTAGAATGCCAAACCCTTACGAGTAAAACGACAGCTAAAATCTTCAAAATTCATTCAAACAAACAAAATAATCTCTGGGGGAAACGATTTTATTTTCACATAAAATTAACGTGATCATTTTCAGTGGAACGATTTTGTTCATGAGAGTTCTCACCTTCGGAGTAGAACTGGAACGATTCGTGGGAGGCATCAATGGCAACCGAAACGGGTCCCACGGATGCGATCGCCTTCATCAAAGCCTTCTCGTCTCCAGCAGGAACATCAACAAAACCAGAATCCGTGGCACCGGAATTCTTGGGATTGTATCGGCATTTGTCGTCCTTTGAACGAACGAAAAAAAAGGAAAATTTCCACGTCAAAGGAAGTTTTACTACGGGAAACGAGTCATTAGACGGGGAATAAGACATTTTTTTTGCTTCCGTTTCTTGAGAATGAAATTAATTTTTTATCGTGAAAAATTACATAATGCGACGGAGAATTTCCAATAATATGTAAAATTCAACCGTGGCCTAAATACACACAAAAGTTACAACTGAATACGCCGAAGGCTGATAGTGAAGAACCTTTTCTGAAATTAGACTCCAAAAATTTCTGATTCTAATAAATATTCTACACAATCTCCAAGGAATCCGAGTAACGTAAGTCTGTTCTTGCAATCAAGCTCAAGTACAAGAATAGTAAATCTAGAAGCATAAGAAATTCGCAATGCCCCATTGTTCATTTGGAACGATGCAATGTACCAAATACCCGTGACTACCAGCGACATCTACCTAAGTTAAAATGATTCAACGCTGTAATGGACGCATGAAGAAAATTTCCCCTTCAAATAAGACGAACGACAGCCCAGTATACACCCCACAGACGGAGAAATCAGATCACCTCGGCTTCGTAGGGGTAAGTCTTCTCAGTGTCAATGCCACCATTGTCCTTCACATATTGGAAGGCTTGATCCATAAGTCCGCCATTGCAACCATCATTGCCATACTTAGTCGAGCAATCAATCAAGTTCTGTTCGCTGAGGGACACGAGTTTTCCGGTCTTGCGGAAATGCTGCCCTTCCAATGATCCGGTCTTCCAAAAAAAATTCATCAAATAAGAAGGAGCATAACATTGGGCATCAACTAATTGGATAAAATGACCAACCCGAAGAATTAAAGAAATGAAATTAACATTTGATCATTTCAAGCAAAAAAGTTACCTGGCATTAGGCATCCATGAATGACAGTTTTGCTAAGTCAAAATTTGAATTTTCTCGAACATTTCCCGTAATTTTCTCAACAACTGCTTTGATTTAAAAATTAACTGAAGATCGAAACAAATCGGCTCCACCACATTAATTGAAGCTCCATGTTCAACGAAAGAAATTATGAGCTCAAGTATAATAAAAGCACGTGTACAATAATACATCAAGATTATGGGTAATTCGTGTTATTCTACTCTTGGATTTTTGATCAGCTACATTATCTTCGTCCACGATGCAATATCCGAATATTCCGACATAAAGCTAATTTTTCAAATACCGTATTTACTCATGAACCACACACCCTGAAGTGATACGTGCCCCAGGGTCTTTCGGTCAAAAAAATCTTCGATAAAATTGTACCCCCAAGTAACAGGCGCACCCCATTTTTAATAAATCTAAAACTGACATTAAAAAAAAAACCACCAAAATTTGAACTGTGGTGCTTTAAAAATCAAATAAATAGAACCCGGATTCAACAGATCTTCAATTGTCTCCATTAAAATAAGTTCCTTCTGTTAAAATTGGTCGAACATTTCCCACTGGAATCAATTAAATGCCCATCTTAAATTCTAGAAAGTCCTGAAGAATTTATACCCGTTTGAGACGAAGACTCCCATTTTTCTTCTCAATTTTGCGGAAAAAAACGTGCACGTGGTAATCAAGTAAATATGGTACCTCATTTACATGTACAATAATACTTACGGAGCTGAACGACCAACATGATCCACATTGCCCCTGATCCTTCACAGGTGTAACAGCTCCCTTCAGCCGCCAATCCACAGTTTTGGGGGCTTCAAAGTCAGCGGGCTCAACAAAGAAGCTACCAAGTGAAACCCTGTTCTTCAGCAAATCGCCACGGAACCCATTCACCGTTTGACGGAATTCGTGCGGAAGCTGTGAATAGATCAGTCTCTTCAAGCCATTCTCATCAACGTCGGAAAAGAGAAGCTTTTACCATGTCCGAATATTTATTCACGGCCATCTTGAACGTTACGTTCCCCATGGCGTAATCCATGTTATGCTTGGCAATGCGATGCCTGTTCTCGATGAAAATCTTCATCCGGAATTTATCCTCCATCGGAGTCTCGTAATTCTTACCATGCGTCAACTGCAGAAAAGTATACTGGTTCATCAAATCCGGAAAAAGATTACATCCCCAATTCTATTACTGTACCTTGAATTCATGCCATTCGTCCATGAAGACGCTGACAACAGAGAGACTGGTGCTTTGAGAGGCAACAGCGCCCAAAATAAACGCGAATATCACCAACAACTTCATGTTTTAAATAAGCAAAAATTCCACTTCCCTGAGAAAATGAAAAAAGTCGTTGATTACCATCTTACATAAGACTTGAGTTGAATCATACAGAGTTTCTAGAAGCACACACAAGCCTAAACCTCCCCCCCCCCCCCCCCCCCCCCACCCCA